CTTCATCCGGCTCCAGGCGTTGGGAAGCGGCCGCTTGAGACGTCCCCACGCGGTGGCCAGCGCCCGCCTTGGTGGCCAATGGTACCTGGGGGTGGCCGATAGCTCCAAAGGAGGCACCAGCACCCTCTTTAGATGGGGTGGACGCGGCTAAAGAGGGATTTTCCTGAATTCAGAATCTTTTCCCCTAACAGTCAGCTACTCATGATAGGGAGTTAGGGGGAAGACCGGCTCTGGTGGTCTGCAGTGGGACCAGGAGGCCCTTGGTCTATAGGTGGAGTGGGGTGGCCTTCACCCCCCACACGGACATCCCGCATGTGCCTGATGTCTACGCGGCCAAGCACTTCAGGATGAGGGGACACGTGTTGCTCTGCTTGCGAGGTTCCTCGGGGATGCTAAGGTGAGGTGGGACGTGGTTATGGGGGGCCACCAGTCATGGGGGGTAGTGGGGATGTGGGGGGCTACCACATGATGGGGCTATGACCATCATGAATCCGTGGGGGTCAGCGTATGGCCATTGGGGTCCATCACCATCACGTGGTCATGGGTGCCCACCAGCATCATGAGGGACTCAACCCAACCCTCCCCATGGTGGTCACCATCCGACCCACCTCAACCCAACCCATCCCCCTGATGACCACCACCTCAACCCACCCCTTCCCATCCTTCTCCATGCAGGTGATGCGCTGGGAAGGCTCCATGTTCCGGGAAGTGCAGCAGGTCCCAGCACGTGGCTCCATGGTCTTCCAACCCTTGGCTTTGGCCGGTCAACGCTACGTCCTCCTGGGCAATGACTATGCCCCGAGCCGTGTCTATCGCCTTGGTCCTGGTGGCCACCTCGAGCCCATCCAGGAGCTCCTGGCCCCATCTCCTCGCTCCTTCGCACCCATCTCCTTGGGTGACCGGCACTTCCTGGTGGCCTCCAGCTTCAAAGGGGCCACCCAGATCTACGGGCACATCACCATTGACCTGGGGGCTTGAGGGACACCAAAGACACACCATGGTGGTGGTGGGGGGATGAGGGCCATCAAGCTACCAGCTACCTGATGGTGCCCAAGGGCACTGTTGGTCCCATGTCACCATTGGCCACTGTTGACCACCCACGTCATCTGGTGCCACCATCTACCAAATGTTCCCAAAGCCACCACTGACACCATGTCCCCAAGGCCACCATCAACCCAATGTCCCCATTGAACCCATGTCACCTTCTGGTGCCACCATCAACCCAATGTAACCATTGACCCCATGTCACCATTGGCCACCATTAACCCAGCGTCCCCAAGGCCACCATCAACCCAGTGTCACCACCAACCCCATCTCACCTCCTACTTCCACCTTTGTCCCCTGATGCCACCGCCCCCCCAATAACCAAAGTGTCCCCAAATGTCCCCTTTTAAACCATCATTTTTATTCATTGCCCCATTTCTTGCTGGTTTTGGGGGGTTTCACCCCAAAATGACCCCCCCATCTCCGTGTGTCCCATTGGGGACGCTTGGGGTCACCTCAACACGTGCTGGTGGCTCCTATGGAGAGATGAGTGTCGGGGGGGACCCAGAGCCTTGGGTGACCCCCCCCTATGGTTGCTATGG